TTTTTAGCGGAAGACTGAGGTTGACGAATTAAGTTATGACTATTCTCAGGGTATGGTCAAGGTGAAGCAGTTAATATAATCAAATGTGTTACGAGTATTTTTAGCGGAAGACCTAGGTTGATTAATTAAATTATGACTATTTTCAGGGGATGGTCAAGGTGAAGCAGTTAATATAGTCAAATGTGTTACGAGTATTTCTAGTGGAAGATCTAGGTTGACTTATAAAGTTATGACTATTTCCAGGGGATGGTCGAAATAGAGCATTTCATACGAACAACATGTTTTTCGTTGTCTCGAAGTATTAGAATTGCCATAATAAATGTTGCTGTGCTATGAGTAATAATAATGGAAGGCTAAATAAAGACAGCTAATGATATGAAATACACATAAAGTAAGCTCGAAATGGAACATGTATAAGTAATACCAGTGGAAAAGTGTAATCTGTCAATAAGTATAACTGCTATAAAGAGCACTGACGTGATAAGGAAAGTAGGAACACCGATAAAAAGTAAGCCTCCCTTCCGTCAAGAGTCCATTTTCACTGAACTGGGCAACTCCTCGAAAACCATCCTATCAATATTTGCTGAAGTGTTCACAGAGTTTTTATTGTGGCCTTTTGTGATGCTCTTAATTTAATCAAGTGTTCTTTTCTAAATTAAAGAATTGTCAATTATTTTATATACAAACGTGATTATTAAAAGTACAGAAGAAGGGTAATTGTACAGAAATCTTACCCTAAAAAATTATTTAAAACTTTACATTAGATGATAATACACGATATTTGAAGGAGTTATATATATAGATTATGATAAAGAAGTTGCATATTATTTAGCGTTAATTGTATTCTTCAGTTTATCACAAATGAAAGAAACTTTGTAGACAAGCACGTGTCACCTTAGAATGTCAGGTAATGAGTGAGGTCAGCTTTGTTGTTTAGGTGTCAACGACATTCATGAAAATTTTGGTCTAAATGTTTCATTTGGAGATGTTAAACATTCTGTGCAGTAAAATTCTGAATTCTTTTTTTCATCATTACAAACAATACTTTGTTCACAAAAGTGATTGCATAAAATATTGAAAAGCCTTACAGTACGATGTGAATAAAGTATCGTAGACAGTGCACTAATTATAGCGTAACATGCATATCGAGGTGGACAATATTGACATCTTGATACATAACAGAAAAATTCATACATTAATAAGACCATCTACAAAAATAGTGCATTGGTTCTTACAAAGGGATATCGTTAAGGTATAAAACACATTATATCTTATCTTAATATGGCATGCAATTAAACATCACACATAATAACAACACCGTTCACAATAAAATGATTCCTTCTTTAACAATATCGTACAGAGAGAAAAAGCACTAGGTTTTTACCCTAAAATCAAACATAAGGAGATAACAGATTGGTTCTTACCTTACCAGTATCGTACAGGGACATAACGTACTGGGTCTTATCTTGAAATTAAATGTAAAGAGACAACAGATTGGTTCTTACCTTACCAGTATCGTACAGGGACGCAACGTACTGGGTCTTACCTTGAAATTAAATGTAAAGAGAGAACAGATTGGTTCTTACCTTACCAGTATCGTACAGGGACACAACACCATAGTTCTTACCTTAAGAATAATGTCTAGATACACGACACTAATTCTTACTCTAAAATATTTGTATAGTAAACTAACAAACAGCGATCTGTAAGCCCAATTATATTTACTGTGGAAAATATACCACATGTTCTGACGGTACCTTGGTCTGTCTTCTTCAGGTATAACACAAGACCAAGCGTGCAAGGATTATATACAAAAATATATGCTGTTTGGAATACAAGTGGCATTAATATTTACGACCTGCTACTTCTGACCTTAACAACCACATCGAGTTACATAACACATTGGATCTTACCTTATCAGTGACACACAGAGAGACAACACACTTGATTTTACCTTAACAGTGACATCCAGGTAAACAAAACACTGGATTTTACATTCATAGTGGCACCTAGAGAGAGAGAAATCAAACTGGATTTTATATTAGCAGTGATATCCAGGTAAACAAAACACTGGATTAAACCTTCACAGTGACATTCATGTAGATAAAGCACCGAGTTTTACCTTCACAGTGACACTCAGAGAGAGAAATCAAACTAGATTTTATATTAGCAGTGATATCCAGGTAAACAAAACACTGGATTAAACCTTCACAGTGACATTCATGTAGATAAAGATTTTTACCTTGACAGTGACATCCAATTAAACAAAACACTGGATTTGTACCTTCACAGTAACATCCAGGTAGACAACACATAAAGTATTACCTTCGTTTCTGATGACACCCAGATTTTAAAGTAGCAGCAATATCGAGATAAACAACACACGAATTCCTAACACTAACGTTCAGACTGAAAGCACATTGGATTTTACAGTGTTTACATAGTAGCATAATATATTAATTTTATGGAAAATTAAGTTCGAGATAAGCAATACCATATATCTGAATGGAGAGGTCTGTCTTTATATTATATTATCTGGACATATGCTATTTCTTGATATCACAACAAAACATTTCTTTGGTAGGTATTATCGCAAAACGATTATTTATCATTACTTTATAGATTCTTTTATCGTTTCTGTTAAGATAACCAAAAGGTTGTGAATAAATTTTTCAAACTCTTTATGTGTCACGATTTCAAATATTTTCACTCATCCATTTTGTCGTAATTCATAATTTAACGCAATGAAAATTTAAGACAATCCTTATATCTTAGCAACATGAAATCAATACGCTTTTATTACGATATGACTGTTTTCTCAGCAGCATAAGTTCTCTAAAGAATTAAGATTTCAAAGTTGCACGTTTCATATGTTGCTGCAAAATACAGTTTATTAAACATTTACTTGGGCGCCAAAAAAGTTTGAAAATTCCTCCTTCATTTCTACTAATAGAAACGACACATTTATGTTGTGGTTAGGTCTACTATCTGGAGAGGACACACCCACCTGTGGCGTGGTCTACTTATACCAAGTGAGCCATACCTTTCTGTGGCAAGGTCTACCATCTATAGTGATCACACTTCCATGTGGTGAGGTCTACTGTTTGCAGTAGGCACACCTTTCTGTGGCGATGACTACCACCTATAGTGATCACACCTCCCTGTGGTGAGGTCTACCATCTTCAGTGGGTATATCATCCCGTGGCAAAGATTGTCATCTTCAGTGGGCACACTTTCCTGTGGCTGGGTTTGTCATATTCAATGGGAACACCCTCTTGTGACAAGGTTTTTCATCTACCGTGGGCTACAATGACTATCCTGGATGGGTACTGTTAACTGTGGCAATAGTTACTGCCTGGTATAGGCACATGTATTTGTCGCAGTATCTAACACCTAAGACACACATTTAGCTTCAACGTTACTTATCCTTCGACACAGAAATAATTGCACTTACGAAATATAC